ATCTTGATAACAACCAAGCTAGCTTGTGCTTCGATTCATAGCATCCTAAGTCGAGTCGAACTTTATTTCCGACTCATGAACATTATGGAGCATGGAATACGCTAAAGTCGAAGGTAGGCTCAGCTCGATTAACTTTTTCACCTATTCCCCTCACATCGGAGTCTTTTACATTATAACTTTTCCTTGAGTTTCGAATGTCCATAAATGTAATGGGATGAGCTTGGTCAAAACCGAGCGTTGATGAGCGCCTCGTTTGTAGTCGCACTATTTCATGTGCCTTTTAAGGGAAAAAGTCATAAATGTAAAATATCTATGACACAAAAATTCCATGATTCATCTTGTGTGTGAATCATGATGCAAAATTTATAATATTTTGTAATGTATCAAAATAGTAGGACAATAACTATTGAGAAATGCTATGGTCTATTACGGTACCATATCGTCAGAGTGTTTTAACCGTTGGATCATCTATCTTATGCTAACTACATATGTATCAAAAAGTTAAAACACTCGACAGAATAATATCGTAACGAGACCGTAATATTTCGCATAACCATTAAAAAAACCTTTGCAAAATGACACTAATGAAAATTGAATTTTATTGGAAATTCAGAAATTTTGGATCACTTCCCATTAACCGACACGTGTCCCCGAATTCTCATCGAATTTCCACTTATACCCTTCTTCTACTCGCCCCCTTCTCCAGTCATTGGCAATCTCACGTGCGATCAGTTATTATTTTTTTTTTAGTACAGTAACTTTTCGATTTCCGAATCTACAAGAGAACCGACTATTTTAGCCGGGTAGGACCACAAGATATATATTTATAACACAGTGTTTATCTCTTCACCTTAACGCACTCTTTTCAGATCCAAACACTATCCCGAAGCCAAATATCAATTTTTTTATTTATTTTCCTTCTTCAATTCTACCTTCTTCGTCTGGATTGGTTTTGTGTGGGGGGCCTTCTAATTGCTCCTAGATTCCTACAGGTTCTTCTTTTTTCTCTTTGATTTCTAGTCAGAATTTTGGTGTTTGATGGCAATTATTTTGGGTTATTTCTTATTAATCATCTGTGATTTGTGAACAAGTATGGTTTTTTTAATTGGATACTGATTGTTGCGCAATTTTTATTTTATTTTATTTGTTTTGGGTTAATTTTGAGATTCAGATTGTGGGTTTTAGTGATCTTGTAAGTAATTGTCGTGGGCTTCTCATCGACTGACAAAAAGCTTTCATTTTTTCTTGTTTGGGGGATCTGAATTAGGCTAGCTTTGTTGTTTGAATCATGATTTGAGGTTATAGAATTTATTGGAAGCAAATTAATTCAGTAATTGTTCGACATTCTAATTTAGTTATGTGTTAAAAATTGGATCTTTTTTCTAGTGAAATGGAGTTATCGGAATTAGGAACATATAGTTTCAGGACTTCAGTTTGATCTGCTCGTGTAGGCCACTATTCTTTAGTTCTTCTTCAGTTATATGGTTTATTTGTTTATTTAGCTTTCTGCGTCTTTACAGAAATAGTTTATGCGCGTTGTAAACGATCAAGTGTGGATTTTTTCATGGTTTTCATTTGTTATACTAGGTTTTCTAACAAGTTATAGCTGTTAGAATATCTTTATTTTGTCGTCGTATACATAATTCCCTTTACTTTGCCGTTCGTGCGTTTGTCATTTGCTGTCGATTTGTCGGTTGGATTGCTTTAGCTTGGGTAAATATTTTTTCAATCGCCAAATTTATATTTATCTTAGTCAGTGGCTCATGTGTTGAGATTACTCTTGTTTCCTGCAGGAGGGAAGGCCATGTGACTTATTCTTAGTATAAAGAAATAGTTACGTCGAATTAATATCAAACAGTAAAAATTCTCTAGTTTGTTTGTGACATTATAGGATAGCGATCGCGGAAAAATTGATAGCAATGGTGAAAAACGGATTAATAAGCACTTACCTGTTTTTTCTCTCTCCTGTTATTTCTTTCTGGGAATGTAGCGTGCGTAAAATGAGGTATTCATTTAGACCCGAGTGGGTGTAGGTATAACTGTAGAAGTTTCCCTTATTCAGCATCCTTTTTCTTTTTTTTTTTTTTCCGAGTTTTTTTTCCTTTTCAGTTCATCAAAATATTTCATTAACAAGTTTTGGAAAAACAAAGGGTAACATATGAATTAGTAGATAATGTTATTATACATCATAGGGGAAGTTTTCTAGTGAAAAGCACAAAAGAAAGAAAGAAAAAAAAAAGAAACTATATACGGTATAATCATGGAAGGTACTAAAGTAACTGTCAGAAAAACTAAGAAAAAGCAGGTTAAACACGAGCTCGACCGAATTAAGCAGGCCGAGAAGAAAAAGAGGCGGCTCGAGAAGGCCCTTGCCACGTCAGCTGCCATCCGTTCGGAACTTGAGAAAAAGAAGCAGAAAAAGAAGGAAGAACAAGAAAGGCTCGATGAGGAAGGTGCTAGAATATCCGAGGCTGTTGCACTGCACGTTTTACTCGGTGAGGAGGACTCGGATGACTCGTGTAATAATAACATTAATCTGGATAAGGATGATGACATCATCATGGGACGGAGACAATCTTTGATCCCTTTTCGTGATTTGTCTGAATATTCGCCACTTGGGCAAATGGAGAATTACTGGGAAAATTCGAACTTTATGGTCTCGTCTGGTTCTTCTTATGTGGGGGGCTTTTGTTGCTATCAGTTTTTTGGAGATGATGTTTGGAGCTCGATCGGTAATCTTACTGCTCGTGCAGAGACCTCACTTAAGATTGCTGATGATGATGGTGCTTATGTGTTTAATCATTTGTCTGAGTGAGTGAGGGAAAAAGGAACAAACAACTGTAAGTTGGGTGTTTCAGGTCATGTTAGGTTCTGTTCCGCCTTTCGACTTCGATGTTTCTGAACATAAATGTTGTGTTGTTTGTGTGTTTGTCTGAACTGAATTGAGAATTGAGATGAGATGTCAAGTTTGTATTGTTGGCAGCTGAAGACTGGCTTTTTTTTTTTTCCTTCAAGTGTTTGCTGGGTTTGTTTCTTTTCTTTTTTTTCTTTTTTTTTTCAAGTGTTGCTGGGTGTTCTTTGTGAAATATGAATTTGATTTGGTTTTGTTTGTTTTTTTGTTAACCATAATTTATTTTGAAAAATGTGGTATGGTTAGTTGTTAGTCGTATTTTGAATTTATATTAAAATGATACAACTAAAATTGATTTGTTATAAAAGTATGAAATAAATAGTGTGAAGTGATGATTAATTAATGTGAGTAGATGAGTAGTGAAGTGAAATTGATATGATTTGTAATAATAATTAATTAATATTATTGATTTATATTGATAAACATCGAAAATTGTGATTTTGAGTTAAAAAAGTAATTAACTTAAAAATAAATAATTTTTTCCAATTAAATTCATCACACTCCTAATTCGATAATCATTGGTAAAGCCCAAACAATTTTGAATCATGGGATGCAATGTGAATATTCAAACTTGATATAGCAGTCGAGTCATATATGGGCCTCTCGAGATATACTTATTGGGCCAAGCCGAGAAAACGGCCAATGGTAAGACTGAAAATTTAGCTGATTTGCTATTCCTCGAGGCTTGCACATCTTCAATGAAAAGTTGAAGATCAAAATTTTGCACACAAATATCTAAGTTACTAATAGTAGCAACGCAATTAGTGATTGTAAATTTTTAATAAATGAACCATTTTAGCCCAATTAATTAATTTAATTAATGACCATAAAATAAAGTTTTAGGTATAATTTGACTATATATCCCATTTGTACGTTATAAGGCTTTTAAGTTTTTAACAAACTTACGATTAAATACATTGCTTTGTCTCTTATCATTAAGAATTTTGAGACTAAATAAAACACTCACCAAATTCTTAATGTCTTATCCCCTTTCATATAATATTAATCAGTATTAATGATTTTAGTACATTTTCTTTATGGTATGTTAATATA